CTCACAGAAACCTCCAGCTCTTAGGCTTAGGTGATTCTCTTGCCTCACCCTCCCAAGTAGCTGGGACTACAGGCACCCGCCACAATGCCCGGTTATTTTTTTTGCAGTTTGGCTGAGGCCGGGTTCAAACCTGCCACCCTAGGTATATGGGGCTGGCGCCCTACTCACTGAGCCACAGGCACTGCCCAAGCCCAGCTATTTTTTGTTTGCAGTTGTCATTGTTGTTTAGCAGGCCCGGGGCCAGGCTCGAACCTGCCACTTCAGTGTATGTGGCTGGTCCCCTACTCACTGAACTCTGGGTGCCGAGCCTGGAACTTTAATTTTTTAATTAAAAATATTTTTAGGCACCTATTGTGCTAGCTACTTTGGAGGCAGAGGCTAAGGCAGGAAGACTGCTTGAGTCCCGAAGTTTGAGGTTTCCATAAGCTAGGCTGGTGCTGCAGCACTGTAGCCTAGAGCAATACAGTGAGACTCTGTCTCAAAAAAATTTTGTTGGAAGGCCGGGTGACTCATGCCTGTAATCCTGGCACTCTGGGAGACCAAGGCGGGTGGATTGCCTGAGCTCACAGGTTAGAGACCAGCCTGATCCAGAGTGAGACCTGTCTCTAAAAATAGCTGGGCATTGTGGTGGGCACCTGTAGTCCCAGCTACATGGGAGGCTAAGGCAAGAGAACCACTTAAGCCCATCAGTTTAAGGTTGCTGTAAGCTGTGACACCATGATACTCTACTAAGGACAACAAAGTGAGACTCTGTCTCAAAATAAAAATTGTTTTTCTAATTTTTTATAGACAGGGTCTTGCTATGTTGCTACCCTCAAATTTCTGGGCTCACGTGATTCTCCCGCCTCAGTCTCCTAAATAGCTGAGACCACAGACATGTGCCACTGTGCCCAGCTTAAAAGAACTTTAAATGCCAAGTTGAGTATTTTAACAGCATGCTCACTTTGTCTTTTTTAGATGGTGTTATCTGAAAAGGTTAGTCAACTGATGGAATGGACCAGTAAAAGGCCTGTAATAAGAATGAATGGAGACAAGTTCCGTCGCCTTGTTAAGGCCCCACCAAGAAATTACTCCGTGATTGTCATGTTCACTGCTCTACAACTTCATAGACAGTGTGTCGTTTGCAAGTATGAACTTTCAACTACACTTTAAAATTAAGTAACTCATAAGATTTCAGCCATTTATTAAACCCAGAAGAACCAAACAACTTTAGTGGATACATAAATAATTAATGTGTTTACCTTGCTTAAGAAGTCTGGGCTCGGCACCTGTGGCTCAAGCGGCTAAGGCGCCAGCCACATACACCTAAGGTGGTGGGTTTGAATCCAGCCCGGGCCACCAAACAACAATAATGGCTGCAACCAAAAAATACCCGGGCGTTGTGGCGGGCGCCTGTGGTCCCAGCTACTTGGGAGACTGAGGCAGGAGACTGGCTTGAGCCCAGGAGTTGGAGGTTGCTGTGAGCAGTGAAACCAGGCACTCTACCCAGGGGGATAGCCTGAGTCTCTGTCTCAAAAAAAAAAAAAAAAAAAAAAGAAGTCTGTAGTAACATATAATACTATTGTTCTTTTTTTATAGTCAATTCTTGATTGTCTGTATTATCAAGGTAGGACAGAACATGGATAAATTACTGTAGTAGCCATCAATGTTTGCTGATAACATTGATGTAGTATTTCATTACTTATAAGTGTTTTCAACTTTATGCTCTTGTTTTATCACAATAATCTCAGAAGGTAAAGGTAACAAATATTTTCCTATTTTGGGAAGAAACAGGCTCTAAAATTTCAAATGGTATACCCAAAGCTTAAGATATTTACTAATGCAATAGTGGTGGCTTCATCTAAGTTTGGAATATGAAAGAACAGGAAATTAAAAAAAACAACAACAAAGGTGCATGTCATCTGATGTGGAGTCTAAATAAGTCAAACTCATAGAAGCAGAGAATAGAATGGTTATCAGAGGCTTGTGGGAAGGAACGGGGAAAGGAAAGATGCTGATCAAAAGGCACAAAGTTTCAGTTAGATGGGAGAAATAAGTGATAGTCATATATTGTACAGCATTGTGGCCACAGTTAACAATAATGTATTATAAAACTTGAAATTACTAAAGATAGATTTTAGGCTCAGCCCCTGTACCTCAGTGGTTAGGGTGCCAGTCACATATACTGGGGTTGTCAGGTTTGAACCCGGCCCAGGCCTGCTAAACAACCATGACAACAACAACAAAAAAAATAGCTGGGCATTGTGGCGGCACCTGTAGTCCCAGCTACTTGGAAGACTGAGGCAAGAGAATCACTTAAGCCTAAGAGTCTGAAGTTGCTGTGAACTGTGATGCTACGGCACTCTACCAAGGGTGACATAGTGAGACTCTGTCTCAAAAAAATAAATAAATAAAATGAAGATAGATTTTAAATGTTCTCAACAACAACAACAAAAAATAAGTAGGTGATATGCTGACTCTCTTAATTAACTTGATTTAATCATTCCATAGTGTATACATATATCAAAACATCATTGTATTCCATAAATATATACAATTATTTGTCAGTTAAAAATAAACTGATTTTGTTTTTGAAACAGAGTCTCACTTTGTCATCCTTGGTAGAGTGCTATGGTGGTCATAGCTTACAGCAACCTCAAACTCTTGGGCTCAAACAGGAGAATGCCTGTAATCCTAGCACTCTGAGGGACCGAGGCGAATGGATTGTTTGAGCTCAGGAGATTGAGACCTGCCTGATCAAGAGCAAGACTCTGTCTCTAAAAAAATAGCCAAGCGTTGTAGTGGATACCTGTAGTCACAGCTACTCGGGAGGCTGAGGCAAGAGAATCACTTGAGCCCAAGAGTTTCAGGTTGCTTTGAGTTGTGACACCACAGCACTCTACCAAGGGTGAAGTGAGACTCTGTCTCAAAAATAAATAAATAAACAGGAGAAGATGGAGTTAAAAGTTGATAACAAACCAGGCGTTGTGGTGGGAGCCTGTAGACCCAGCTACATGGGAGGCCAAAGCAAGAAGGTTGCTGGAGTGTAAGAGTTTGAGGTTTCTGTGAGCTGTGACACGACAGCACTCTACCCAGGGCACAGAATGAGACTCTGTCTCCAAAAAAAAAGTTAATAACAAATCAAAATTGGCCGATCTTGGAAAGTGAAATCATATGGGAGATACAGGAAAAGTCACAGATGACTTGAGGTTTCAATTAAATTCAGTTCCCTGAACCCTTCTTATCTTTCATTCTGATATGTCATCTGATTTTATTTCCCAAGTAGCATTTGTGCTTTAGATTTTTTTTTTTTTTGAGATAAAGTCTTACTGTGTCACCCTTGGTAGAGTGCCATGGTGTCATGGCTGACAGCAACCTCAAACTCCTGGGCTCAAGCAATTCTCTTGCCTCAGCCTACCAAGTAGCTGGGACTACAGGTGCCTGCCACAACACCGGGCTATTTGTTGTTGTTGTTGTTTAGCAGGCCCTGGCCGGATTTGAACCCGCTAGCCCCCATGCATGTGGCCAGCGCCCTAACCACTTAGCTGCAGGTGCTGAGCCTTTTTTTTTTCCTATTAATGTAGCTGTGTACATTAACGCATTTTTTTTTTATAAGCAGAGTCTCACTTTATTGTCCTTGGTAAAGTGCCATAGTGTCACAGCTCACAGCAACCTCCAACTCCTGGGCTTAGGCAATTCTCTTGCCTCCGCCTCCCAAGTAGCTGGGAGTATAGGCACCTGCCAGAACACCTGCCTATTTTTTTTGTTGCAGTTTGGCCAGGGCCGGGCTCCAGCCTGCTACCCTCAGTATATGGGGCTGGTGCCTACCCACTGAGCCACAGGTGCTGCCCTTTTTTTTTTTTTTTTTGAGGCAGTGTCTCACTATGTTGCCCTCCATAGAGTACTGTGGCATTATAGCTCACAGAAACCCCAAATTCTTGGGCTTAAGCAGTTCTCTTGCCTCAGCCTCCCAGGTAGATGGGACTATAGGTGCCTGCCACAACGCCTGGCTATTTTTTGTTGCAGTTGTCATTGTAGATGGCCTGGGCTGGGTACAAACCCACCAGCCTTGGTGTATGTGGCTGGTACCATAATCACTGCACTACGGGCATTGAGCCATTGAGCCATTTTAAAAAAATGAATTAATATTATACTTCTGCTTCCTCTAGGAAAAATATTTCTACCTTATCTTTGAACTCTTTTTTTTTTTTTTTTTGAGACAGAGCCTCAAGCTGTCCCCCTGGTTAGTGTGCCTTTGCATCAAAGCTCACAGCAACCTCTAACTCCTGGGCTCAAGCGAGTCTTCTGCCTCTGCCTCCCAAGTAGCTGGGACCACAGGCACCCGCCACAATGCCCAGCTATTTTTGGTTGTAGCCATCATTGTTGTTTGGCAGGCATGGGCTGGATTTGAACCCGCCACCTTAGGTATATGTGGCTGGCACCTTAGCCGCTTGAGCCACAGGCACCAAGCCATCTTTGAACTCTTAGAAGTAATTTAGGATATTAGACATTGCAGAGACTGGTGGTGCCCATTGCTCAGTGGGTAGGGTGCCAGCCACATACACCAGGGCTGGTGAAGTCAAACCCTCCCGGGCCAGATAAAACAACAAAGATAACTGCAACAACAAACAAGTAGCCAGGCGTTGTGGCAGCACCTGTAGTCTCAGCTACGTGGGAGGCTGAAGCTAGAGAATCACTTAAGCCCAAGGGTTTGAGGTTACTGTGAGCTGTGATGCGACAGCACTCTACCTAGGGTGACAGCTTGAGACTGTGTCTCAAAAAAAAAAAAAAAAAGAAAGAATGAAAGAAAAAGAGAAGAAATTGCAGAGACTATTAGCTGTATTTGTCCAATGACCACAGAAAGAGATTTGGGATAAGAAACAGGCATGAAGTATAAAGTGGAGCCAGGTGATTATTATTTTCTGGTGACATCCTCAAAACTTAGGACATTGTTTTTTAACCTTTTTAATCTCTTGGCACACTTGAACCTATAGTTAAACTTCTGGGGCACACTTAAATATGTTGATCAGAAAAAAAGAGTAAAAAGAAGAATATATTTACTTTGCTTTGAAATCCTTTTGAAAGTAATTTAATTAATGATCTTTTAAAAAATTTCATGACACACCAGTTGAAAATCACTGACTTAGCATAAGGCTTCTTTTATGCCAAAACAAGCTTCGCCCTAACCCTGTCAGCAAATCCTGACTTACTCAATGTTTTCTACTATTTCCCCCATTGGAAAAACTACTATTGCTTGGTTGGATCTCTTTTACTGCTGATAAGCTAGATTGATGGTTAATTTTGTTTTCTATATTATCTTCACAAATCTTATTATATCCAGGCAAGCTGATGAAGAATTCCAGATCCTGGCAAACTCATGGCGATACTCCAGTGCATTTACCAACAGGATTTTTTTTGCCATGGTGGATTTTGATGAAGGCTCTGATGTATTTCAGATGGTAAGATCTTTGGTTTATTCTGCTGTGTAGGATTAGATAAAATATGGATAAAGTGGAATACTTTTTTCTCAGTGTCTATGAGAAGTTAAATAGGACAGCTCTTATGTGGAAACTAGAACAGTGATTTTCAACCGGTATGGTACAACACACTGGTGTGCTATAAGAGGATTTTAGGTGTGCTGCAAACATTTTTAAAGATCATTAATTAAATTATTTTTGAAAGAAGTTCAAAGCACGGTAAGTATATTCTTTTTTGTTTTTTTGATCAACATAATTTAAGTGTGCCACAGAAGTTTAACTATAGATTCAAGTGTGCCAGGAGATAAAAAAAGAAATTGAAAAACACTGATCTAGAGTAATGAGCAAAAAGCTAAACTCGAGCTAACCATAAAATGTAGTGATCATTGCTCACCTATTAAAATGTGGAAATTGGGTGATGCCTGTGGCTCAAAGGAGAAGGGCGCTGGCCCCATATACCGGAGTGGTAGGTTCAAACCCAGCCCCGGTCAAAAACTAAATAAATAAATGAATAATAAAATGTGGAAATTAAGCATAGTAAGTATATATATATATATATATATATACTTATATATATATATACTTATATATATATATAAAGTAACTTATATATTTTTGTTGTCGTAAAATAGAGAAACCATAAAATTCATCATTTTAACCATTTTCAAGTGTAGAGTTTAGCAAATAATTTTTTAAATCATAGCATGAGTCCCACTATTATGTAATACTAAAGTTCTTGGTAAGCCAGGCTGTCTTTCCCCCTTGCCTCTTGTCTTAGTGGGAAAGAGCCTTTTTTTGTTCACAGCTAGACCCTTTTCCTATCACACCTGCTCTGTCAATTACCACCTCTCACATCTGTGGGTTTTTTTGTTTGTTTCTTTTTTAAGAGACAGGATCTCACTCTGTTGTCCAGACTAGAGTACATTGGTGCCATTATAGCTCATTGCAGCTTTAAACTCCTGAGCTCAAGCAGTCCTCCCACTTCAATCTTCTGAGTAGCTAGGTCCATAAGCACACCACCAAGCCTGGCTAATTCTTAAAATTTTTTTAGAGATGGGGAAGTCTCATTGCGTTGCCAGGGCTGGTCTTGAATTCCTAAGCTCAAGCAATGCTCCAGCCTCAGCCTCCCAACATTCTGGGATTACAGGCATGAGTCACCACAGCTGACCTCATGTATACTTTTAACTTCAGCCTCTCTTCTAGTTCTTTCCCCTTGCATATAAACACTCAAGGGCACAGATTTAATTTTATCTTTCTTTATAAATGTTTCTAACTCATATATTTGAAAACTTTTTTACTCTATAGTAATTGTTCAAAACATAAATAGAAAAATCTGCATATAACTCCTTACTACATCCTTACATAAATGACTTCACAATTCAAAATTTCATTGTGTTCCAAATTAATCTCCTGTCTCTCCTCCATTTCTATTCAAACAAGGTCTTCATGTGTTCCATAGCATTAGTGACAATTCTTTGTCATCTCCATCTTCTTGTACACGTGTTGTAGTCATTCCCATGTTACATTCCAAAGCCCTCATCATCTCTCATTTGAGCTAATGCAGTAGCCGTTTAACTGCTCCACTTAACTTCCATATAGTTCTCTCTTCATGTTGTCTGCTCTAATATTTCCCAGAGTTTTTTTCTGTAGGGTATTAATAAGAATACTTTGAAAAAATTAAATTTGTGAAACCCTACTTTAAACAAAATTAAACTGATTTTTACTTTAGGGTTCAAGAGCTCTGAAAGATTTGAGTTCTTAGCCTGCTTGCAAAGTAACAAGTTAGCCTGCTACATTTTCTTAGTTGCTGGAAGAAGATATGATACCCCTTGGAGAGAATTAAAGGACTTTAATACTCACAAGTAACCAAAGTTATTAGCATTTTCTTGTGCAGGTTCCCCGAGTCCCACTTCCCATAGGGCAATGCAGAGAGGGCCAGTTGGTTGCATTATGGGAGTGGAATTCTAAGCTGTAGGACCAAAATCATCTACAGTCGATGGTAAGCATGTTTGCTCTTTCTTTTGGAGGGAAACTTCTCTCTGGCTTCCAAAGATACACAAATGCCCTTGATAAGATCATCTAGAAGAGGCTGTGTGTGATGGTTCATGCCTGTAGTCCTAGCACTCTGGGAGGGCTGAGGCAGGAGTATTGCTTGAGCTCAGGAGTTTGAAACCAGCCTCAGTAAGAGCTAGACACTGTCTCTACTAAAAATAGAAAATTGATCCCAGTGTCATGATGGGTGACTATAGTCCAAGCTACTTGGGAGGCTGAAGCAGGAGGATTGCTTGAGCCTAGGAGTTTGAGGTTGCTGTGAGCTAGGATGCCATGGCACTCTAGCCTGGGCAACAGAGTAAGACTGTCTCTCAAAAAAAAAAAAAAAAAGAAAGAAAGAAAGAAAGAAAAAGAAAGAAGGAAAGAAAAGGAAAAAAAGATCATCCAGAACAAAGGAAGTTAGTGCCTTTACCCACAATTCACATAGAAATAAGAGAAACTCATGGAGAATTGTCTCCCAACACTGAACTTTTCAGGGACTTTCACATGCTGATATATATGTTATTTTTTCCTTCCCAGTAAGGGACTCTAATATATAAGAGTTTCCCAAATTATTGGACGACTCGATGGAATGTTTTTGGCTAGATTTCCTGAAACACACTTTTGAAAATAGTGGTATATAGACTGAAGCCAGAATTCCTTAGTACTTTCCACCTCATGTACTCTACTCTGACTCTTTCACTTCATGTACTCTACAGGATTACATTTCTCACAATCATATTCTTCTACACACTGTCTTATTTCAGCACTATTGATTGTTCATTGTCCAAAAAATGTGAAGTATGGCCCTATGCAGTGGTTCACTCTTGTTATCTTAGCACTCTGGGAGGCTGAGGCAAAAGGATTGTTTCAGCTCAGAAGTTCAAGGCCAGCCTGAGCAAGATCAAGACACAGTCTCCACTGAAAATAGCAAAATTAGCCAGGCATCGTGGTATGCACCTGTAGTCCCAGCTACTCAGAAGGCTGAGACAGGAGGATCACTTGGGCCCAGGAGTTTGAGGCTGTGGTGAGCTTTGATGACACATGGCACTCTAGCCAGGGCAACAGAGCAAGATTCTGTCTCAAAAAAAGTAAAATAAAATAAAACAAAGAACATGAAGTATATTTACTTTCCTGCCCCTTTCTTTCCACTATCAAATAAAGGCTTATCCTTCATATCAGGTGCTTCCTTTAAGCCTTTTTAAATCTAGATGAAAAGTCAGTCACAGCTTGGCCCCTATAGCTCAGTGGTAACAGCACCAGCCACATACACCAGGGCTGGCAGGTTCAATCCTGGCTGGGCATTCTAAACATCAATGACAACTACAATTAAAAAAGAAATAGCTAGGTGGTGCCTGTGGCTCAGTGGGTAGGGCACCGGCTCCATATACCAAGAGTGGTGGGTTCAAACCCAGCCCCGGCCAAACTGCAACAAAAAAAAAAAAAAAATAGCCAGGCATTGTGGTGAGCACCTGTAGCTGTAGTCCCAGCACTCGGGAGGCTGAGGCAAGAAAATCACCTAAGCCCAGGAGTTGGAGGTTGCTATGAACTGTGATGCCATGGTACTCTACCAAGGACAATAAAGTGAGACTCTGTCCCTAAAAAAAAAAAAAGAAAAGAAATAGCTGGGCATTTTGGCAGGCACCTATAATCCCAGGTACTTGGGAGGCTGAGGCAAGAGAATTGCTTAAACCCAAGAGTTTGAGGTTGCTGTGATCTGTGACACTACAGCACTCTACCAAGGGAGACATAGTAAGACTCTGTCTCAAAAAAAAAAAAAAAGTCTGTCACATTACATTCCTTATATTTCTATTATATACTTGTCCACATTCTGTCTTATAGTAGAATTAGCTCTATTGTCTGACAGTATCTCTTACAATATAGTTAGTAAGAGCCTTTTAGTCTATACAACATAGTTAATATAGACTTACTTAATGACAGAGCCAATATCCTATAGATAGCTATCATTGCTTAGTACATAATAGGTGCTTAGTAAATGTTGAAGAATAGCTTAATATTCCCATTTTACAGTATATCATTGTGCTACCCACATTCTAGTCTCACACAGACATCTCCATAAATCAAAATTGGAACCTTTATTTAAGATAATATAACCTAAAAATGTTAATGCATTCTGCTTTATTAGACCAAAGGAAACGATTTCTAAGGTTCAAGAAATTGCTTTCTCATTCTATGCTATTCAGGCTGGGATTGTTGGGAAATTAAAAAATTTAATTTTGGCTCGGCACCTGTGGCTCAAGTGGCTAAGGCGCCAGCCACATACACCTAAGGTGATGGGTTCAAATCCAGCCCGAGCCAGCCAAACAATGACGGCTGCAACCAAAAAATAGCTGGGCATTGTGGTGGGTGCCTGTGGTCCCAGCTACTTGGGAGGCTGAGGCAGGAGACTCTCTTGAGGTCAGGAGTTGGAGGTTGCTGTGAGCTGTGATGCCTCGGCACTCTAACCAGGGGGACAGCTTGAGGCTCTGTCTCAAAAAAAAAAATAATTTCATTGATTTTGACAGGCTTTATCTATCTATCTATCTATACATACCTGGGGCCACAGAAGCTTGCCACAACGTCCAGCTAATTTTTCTAGTTTAGTAGGGACAGGATCTCACTCTTCTTCAGGCTGGCCTCAAACTCTTGAGCTCAGGCGATCCACCCACCTTGGCCTCCCAGAGTGTTAGGATTACAGGCATGAACCACCACTCCCAGATGAAGCTATTTTCCATAGCAATTATACTAATTTACATTCCCACCAGTGGTTCATAAGAGTTCCCTTTTCTCTGCATTCTCTCCAGCATATGTTATTTTTTGACTTTTTAATAATAGCCATTCTAACTGGGGTAAGATGATGTGTCAGTGTGGTTTTGAATTGCATTTCTCTGGTTATTAGTGATGTTGAACATTTTTTCATACACTCATTGGCCATTTCAATGGGATTAAAT